AGATGGAAGATGGTTTTTATGTTTTTTATGCTCTTGTTTGTTTGTGTTTGTTGTAAAAAATTAAAAATTAAAAAAAAAAAGGATGACAGATGAGACATTTGTTTGCCCTCAAATACCAGCTTATCTAATTTTGTATTTTCAAACCAATTCTTGCACCCAAACCCAGCTACCTTTCAAAACCCACACTTCTTCAAATTTTGCAAAGCCATTAAAAAAAACAAGCCAGAGAAGAGCTCAGATAAACAGTGGTGCCCAGTGGTGAAAATTAGGTACAAAAAGACATTGTTTAAGGGAAAGTGTTGGCAAAAAGGGTATATGTTAAGCAAAATTGCAAAGAAAAACATGTATGTTGGGAGGAATAAAATCAGGAAGAGTCTGGTAGCATCTTTTCCAACTAATGCATTTTATTAAAAGGCATATGCTTTTGTGAGCTGCAGATCACTTTGTCAGATGCATAAAGTGGCTAGACTGATATGGGATTTAAGTTGGGGTGAAGTGAGGGAAAGACAGTGCGGTTATACAGATGCAGGTGATATGAGAGGCAGATGGCAAGAACCTTATCAACTGTTAAAACTCCACTGTGTTTGTTGAGATTTTTAGAGATTGCCTGAAACTTTTTGATATATGTGAATTCAGCAATCTTTCTCTCAATGATGCCATTAAAATCCTGGTTTTTCCAAAATTCTCTTTCTGAGATCCAGTGAACAGAATGTCCTGTGAGGTTCAAATGCTCTGATATTACTTTGCCCTTGTTTTGAGTCCCGGTATAAAATTTGCTGTTGATGGTGGTAGGGTGGAATAATAAAATTACACCAATGTTAGTGTGATTCCTTTTTTTATTTTAAACCAGAGCAGCTGGAAAGAAGATAAACTGAACTTAAACGCTGTAGGTTAAACTGAAACAAAATCAAGAGCCAGGTCTAGGGGTGAAGGCACCAGGCTAGAAACTAGGAGACTCTGAGTTCTAGTCCATGAAAGCCGGCTGGGTGATTTTGGGCCAGTCCCTCTCTCTCAGCCTAACTCACCTCACAGGGTGGTGGTTGTGGGGAAAATAGGAGGCAGGAGCATTATGTACACCACAACAAGTTGTATAAAGTAAAGGCAGGATATAAATCTAATAAATAACTAAAAAGGAGAAAAACACAAACTGAAACTGACAGATCTCCTCTTTCCTAGCTCCCAATGAGCTGTCTTATAGAATATTTTCACTCTGATGCTACCTATCTGTTCCAGAAGAAGCAAGGTGTCAATGGAGTGCTCCTGTTAATTAAGATATTAAAAAAACAACAACCAAGAAACTGGAGACACCAGGGATGAATGTAGGACTTCATTGAGGAATTACCAATTTAACTGAAATGAACAGAATTTATGATACATGAAGGCTTTCCCTTGCGCTGGGTTTACAGGGCACCGTTAACCTGGCCACTCTATTAATCCACTTTCTGCAATCACACGAGACCTTCACTCATAACCTAAACAAATAATCTGGGTTTCTACAACCCAATAACCCAAGATAAACTAACCAAGATTCAAACAGGCCAGATTTAGCGTGTTGCGAAAGAGGCCACAGCTTATTTTCCAGATACCAGCCCCCAAAATTTGGGGGTCAAGGACCAGCATCTAACCACTATATTGACCGGGTTAAATGTATTGTGAGAATTCAAAACTGCTCTGTTCAGCAAGGGGGACGGGCCACAGACGGCCAAGGGGGAATGCAGCTTTAAGAAAGCAAAAGGCTGAATTTGGCTTCTCCTTGGCAGGGACATCCCCAGGAGGGTAAAAGAGTCAAGATGGAGGTCGCAACCATGCAACTGAAGTCTACCCCTTTTTAATGACTGCCATCTTTTTGACCTCCCCACCCTCCTGGACAACCCTGGTTACATGACAGCTGATGAAGATTGCTCTGTAGCAGCTGCCTTCTCTTACCAGGGAGCCCTCCAAGAAGAAAATGGGTGCCATGTGGCTGGGTGCCATGGGAGCAAGCTTCCTGCGCCAACAGCGCCGCCGAAAGACGTCATCGGATTGCCTCTGGAGATGGAATCGCCACCCGTAAAGAGGAGCATATTCCCAGACCTCTTCTTTCACCTTGACGTCTGAGTGCTGTAGGACACACAGGGGGAAAGATGATAAAGCCTAATTTTGGCCAGAATAGCCCAGAGAGGCATGATAGGACAGCATTCATTGCCTTAACCAGTGTGGCAAATTATCAGGTTTGTCATCTCACATATGCAAATGCTCAGCATTGTTGTGAGTTGGGCAGCATACACATTTAATAAATTATTATTATTATGTAAGGGAGTGTTTCATTGATATATGAGCTTGAGGCTAAGACTAACATCTCACTTGCTGCTTCCACTGTAGTTTTAAAGGCACTTGCTTGGTCAGCCTGCCCTCAGCAAAATTCTGGTTTCACCACCCACTGTGGACCTGGTAAAATGTCCTAGCTTGCAGAATTCCCCCTTCATTTTTTATTGAGTTTCTCCCTGACACTGTTTGCCTGTAGGAACCACTCCCCAGGGTAAGCGTCCATACCAGCTGAAGAAAGGAGGCCATCTGAACTTCTTGAGTCTCCCTGCCAAGGTTCCGAGAGCGCTTCCTGAGCCAACGCCGACGCCGGTGTGTGTGGTAGGTCTTCTCAGCCGCGTTCCAGAAGCAGGGAAAGTCAGCAGGTGGGATGGCAATGCCATACTCCCACCCTAAGGAGGAAAGATGTGCCGTGAAACGAGGAAGCACACGTTGCAACGTTTTAGTTCCAACTCTGCCACTTACAGACTCACTTGTAACACGGCGATGCAAGCAAAAAGGGTGGAGTTTGCATTCCAATGTCACAATGCATATTTGGTCATCATCATGGTTAGCAACAGATCCCTACGTTCATGCAATATCCTGTTGTTTCTTTCTTAGGCCACTCCAGGGCTGAACAGAACAGATATGATGGGCTTTTCAGGAATTATTATTCTTATTTATTCAATTACCATCTTATCTTCCTACTCAGAGGAAACTTTAAGGCAGTGTTTCTCAACGCTGGCAAGTTTAAGAAGTGAGGACTTCAACTCCCAGAATTCCCCAGACAGCATGCTGGCTGGGGAATTCTGGGAGTTG